ATTTTCTTCGCATAATAGAATGGAATAGAATAATTCCCACAGTCCTGATATAGAACTCCAAGACACCTGATAAGCTTTCATCAATGCAAAGGTTTGGAGGAGAAATACACATGAAATAGTTTGGATTAAGTGAATGATGTGTTGTTGTTTAATGATATAAAACAACAATGTGGCACAGTATGCTGCAGCCAGCTAGTTGGTTGTTTGCTGGGAGCATGTTGCTCTCTTACAGTGCCTTCTCTGTTGCTTTGTGAAAGTTGTGATGGAGGAACAGTGTGAGCTATCGTACATCATGCTGGCATCCATTTTAAACCCTGTACAAGTCTGTATGTTTCATGTGGAGTAAACTCAATGAGCAATAAACTTTGACCCTGTAAGCCTTATTCTCTTGTCCAGACGGAGTTGTGAGCAGTTGGATAGTGTACATGAATGTCAAAGTACCAGTACATAAGTACGAAATTTATACTAAAATAAGAAAACATGAAATGATATTGATAATGTTGCATGCCAGATGTTTAAATGTCTTTATTTGATTACATTTTAGAACTAATCTTAAAACTACATCCAATTTCTGATTGTTTAATTGAATACTATATTCTATAGCCTGGACAATCCAATTACTGACTGTCTGTTTAGATGCAGGCAGCCCTTTCTTGGGTGAACCAAAGACACCAACAACTGGTCTGACTTCCTCCACTGAGAAGACTACTCCAAGTAAACCCTTAGGGATCTGACTGGGCAGAGCAGGTGAAGTCTCCCCTCTTCGGCCATCCCATGAGGTGGAGGATGGAAGGCCTGAAGAACCACTGACCGTGCCGTACTAGACGGCACATAACCCCGTCTAGGATGTAAGATGGCCTTTACACCGGGCAAGCTGGTGTTATAGCCAGGGCCTGGAGTCCCCCCCACCCTCCTCAGAGAAGTGATGGCAAGGAGAAAGGCCACCTTGAAGGTCAGGTTCTTTGCCTCAGCCGACTCCAGTGGCTCAAAGGGGGCCTCAGCCAACCCTTCAAGAACCACCGCCAGGTCCCAAGTTGGGACTCTGGAGTGAGCCGCAGGCCTGAAACGTACAACCAAATGGTGTCCAGAGCCCCAACACCTACAGGTGAATGGAAAGCCGCAATGGCAGCCACATACACCTTAAGTGTGGATGGGGTAAGACCGGCGGAGAAACGATCTTGGAGGAACTCCAGCACTGAAGCCACTGGGCAGTTAACTGGGTCCACCAAAGAAGTCACAAACACAAATAAGTCCTGTAACTAAGTTCCCAAATAAACAGAAACCGACACAACTGAAGACGTTTGTCCTCTTTCTTTTGTGAAACCTAACAGTAATTTATTTCTGTGTGACTAATGTGACAAATAAAGAAGGCATAAATACTAATTACAATAGTTCATGTTTTTCACAGTCAGTAATTCATACTGGAACATTTGTTTGTTCGCTGTGTCAAGTTGCAGTTTGTTTGACATTACAAACCAGTTCACCAGAAGGAAAACTCAACGAAGTGCTATTAGAAGACATCCTGTCATAGCTTTTTGGTACATAGTAAAATACTAATATACTTGTTACTGTCCACTCCTTGAAATACTTGAAAGCTGCATTTAATAATTACAGTAAATAAGGCCTATTAAATAAATATGTTATAAATTAACTTTGGCCGTGGAATCGTAATTGGCACATAGACTTGTTAAATTTCACTGGTATATGTATCATACTTAAAGTGGTTCATAACAATACTATAGTGTAGAATAAAGTGCTCTGTCTGACCACAAATACACACACACACAGGCTCTGATTCACTTACCCCAACCAAAGCGGGGACCACCTATACCCTCTTCACCACCTCATCACTTTGGTAACTATGACAACCACATCATCCTCACCAATACATCTCTCTCTCTCTCTCTCTCTCTCTCTCTCTGTTTCTGCTCAGTATTCCTCTCATACTAATGCCACAGAGTGTCCTCATCTGTTAGGACCTTCCAATGGTGAGGTTATAGGGAATATCTGGAAAAGGCATTGAACAGCAAATTAAACCTACTATGTTGCTCATCCAAACTCACTGTCCCTTCCACTGTGAACTGTTTCTACTGGAGAACCGAAACCAATTATAGTTTTTGCAGAATCAGATCCTTCAATTTCATGGTTTGCTTAACAAACAGAAGCATCCCTAAACAGAACGGATGAATGTTCACGATAAACGTACAAACAATCAAATAAACAGTTCTTTAATACAGATGTTAACAATATTATCATATCTTACTGGTGCAAAATCACAAATTTGGATTGTCACTAAGAGCCCTATTTAAACGATCTAAGCGAATGGCCTAAAGTGCACGCGCAAGTGCACTTAGTTAAAGTGCTAGTTTACCGACGGGAAAAATGGTTGTCGCGCATGGTCTAAAAGGGTTGTCTCTATTCTCTTAATGAGTAATTGGTGTGTTTTGGGTGTGACAATAAATAAACCAGCCAGAGTCTCATCTCCCATTCCCTTTAAAAGCCAGTTGCACTCGCCCCATGGCAAATTGCTATTTACATGGCGGAATTTGCAAGCGGAAAGACTGAGTGTCCTATCATACACCCGGTGCAATGCAGTGCCAAGCGTGACACAATCTTTTGCTAGTTTCAGTCTGATGCAGTTCTTATTTTCAAATAGCAAATGTATACCTATTATACCTATTATACAATTATACCTAAATAATCTGCCAATTACTGTGTGTGCAATGCATGATAGTGTGCACTCTTTGGTGAATGTGTTTTAGCTTTTCTCTATTGTAGCATAACTCCAGCCCTCTGGGCTAGTGTTCAAAAAAGAGCTGACATGCTGATACATTATATTCATATCTGTGTGTATTTGACTTCCCTCACTGTGTAAACTGAATTGCATATTCTGATTTATTTTCTGACCCAGGTAATGAATTCCAGGTCGTCTGGTTTGCGGTGAAGTGCGGCATTTGTCTGATGATAGATGGCATGCTTTTATGTACATGTCACTGCATTTGATTTGAATGTATAAATTAATGAATACAAACATTTTTACACACAAAAAGTTTTTGCAAAACAAACATTAATGAATACATAGCCATGTGTGTGCGCGTGTGTTTGCGTGTGTGTCATTTAGGTTTGCTGCATTCTGGAATTCAAAGACATACTACTTTGACACGACATGAGCGCGAGTAATTTTTTTTATTTTACAAAATGTTAAAATGTTCTCATAGGTCCACTTTTAATGTTAGCAAGATTTTTAAATCAAAAAACTAATTTAGATGTAATAGGCTATTTTCTATCCTTTTATTTTACCCTATTTGAAACACATTATTTTGATAGACTTGCCCCATTCAAGACTCTCAAGACTGTATCCGTCTACTGCTTATTACTGGGTAACAGATTTGCATAATAAATAATTACCAATGTTCCACAAGTAAACATGAGGAATTGTTTTAAAACTTCCAATGTTGAAAAATGTCAACCAGTGAAATTCATCTATACATAACTGAGCCAGAATCTGATGCCAAATCAGAAGACAATACATGAGGAATTAAAATGTATATTTCTTCTTTATGTATTTGTGAGGTAATATTGTATTTTATGACCTTATATTAGTGTTGAAAAGAAGATGTGTTTATCTTACATAGTTACAATAAAGCGTCTTGATTGTGGCAAATAAAGTTTAAGTAGCAACTTGGAGTTGACAGGATAAATTTCTGTATTTGTAAACAAAATTAATTACTATTGTTTGCTCCACTGTTGTTATATTCATCATTCATCATTTTAAGTAAAGTAAATGTAAAGTGACTTTTCTGTCAAGTGAGCATACATATCAAATGAATCGTATCAGACAAAGCAATAGTGACCCATGGTAAAAACATGGTTACTCGCAATCGTGTTGCGACATTACTGTCGGATTCAAGATACTCGTCACTGTATCATCTTTTATTTTCAGTCTCCCTGTCTTGTTTTTAGAAAAAAATAATCCGCAGTAAAATAAAGCAAACACAAAATGAGTCTACTGATGCAATCTGGAACTTTGTTAAAAATACAATTCAGCCATGCTTTCTTAATGTTAGGATCACATGAAGGAAATGTAAAGACTGTTTTTCCACAACTCTCTCGTTCTTGACAAGTGCGGATTGGACAGCTAGAGAGGCAATGATAGTCATTTTGAAATAAGTCATTTTAACAGCTTGATATCAATAAAAGCTGTATTTGGACTAACAAGGAAGCTTTGAGTTCTGAAATGTACAGGATTTATGTTTTTACACTACAAGGACATCTTATAAACCAATACATCAAGGAAAATATGATTTCTCTATTCATGACCCCTTTAAATCACCCAACCCATATGTGTTCATGTTTGTGTAGCGAGAGAGAGAAAGAAAAATGTGGAATGTGGAATGAGGAAACATGCTATTTGTGTAGGAAATGAGAGCACTTAAGATGCTTTTAAAGTGCATCGTTTAAAGTCAACAGGCCCTTTAGCTGCAAAACCATTTAGAGATTATTGCTTTTATAACAAGATAATTAACAGCAACCCCATTTATTTAGGAGAAATAGCTATGTTTCTGATAATTATAGAATTATAGCGATACTTAACTTGCATTTTTGTGCAACAAACAAACAAAAAAAAAGTTATGCGATTGGATTTTTCAATTGGTCTGGTAAAAATTAAATAAAACTCTTTATGCCATGACATTTTTCATTTTACCCTTGAACATTTTCATTGGTAGAAGAGCTCAGGCTAACAGCATGGATTTTATACTCAGTTCTTCAAAGCTCTACTGCAACAGAGATAAATTTGACAATATGTTTGGATACTGCAGCTGCACTTGTACAAATGTTTGTTTGGGATATCTGCACCTTAGTATGTAAATGAATCTTTGAATCAAGGATTCAGTTGCCTCTCAGTGTGAATATTATGCATGGAGCATCAAAATGTGCAAAAATAAAAAAAAATTGGGCCAAGCTCAAAGATTCAGATATAATATCAGAATGAGACTCACCTGTAGATGATGCAGGCACTGTTACGACACGTGTCGCAGTTGGATGTGTCCTGCCCAGTTCGATATGACAGTCTGTGGAAAAAAAAAAACAGTGTACGATAAATGTACTGAAGCATAAAGAAAAAATACAACTATTAACTTAAAGGCATAACTAAAACAAAAAAAGAAAAAATAAATAAAAAAAACTAAAAAAAAAGTTTTTAAAAAGACATTTTGAAGAATGATGAAGTCCAAACAACATTGGGCCCCATTCAGTTTCACTGTATGGAGAAAAAATGTAATTCATGCAGGAGTAAATTATGACAGAATTTTCATTTTTGGTTGAACTGTCCACTATTTTTGGGGTGAAGAATTTTATCTTTTATTTACATGGAAGCATTCAATTAATCAAAAGTGACGGTAAAAACAACCATGGTTTCCACAAAATATTAACCAACACAACAGTTTTCACCATTGATTATAACTAGTGCAGTGCCCGTGCAAAATCAGTTTTTGTGTGTGTTTTTAGTAACTGTTGGTTTGGTGTGTTTGAGTGCTCATTGTTACAATTACACAGCAAAAGTTCAGTGACATTTTTATTTGTGCATGGTAGAAAGCAAATACTGATACTGACATAATGACATACAATAGATAGTTTAGAATAGATTTGTCACGGCTGTGCACGGAGATGAACCCAAACGCAGACAGTGTACAATGAACTCAGGGTTTATTAGGACAAAACAGGAAAACAAAACCCACGAGGGGGCAAAACAGACGAAACAAGGGAAATAAGACTGACAAGACTAGAAAATGACTGAACAAGAAACCAACAACACTTTGTATAATACTAACAATGACAATGCTTTTCACAGACTACTCACAGGTAACATTTAGCAATGAACCGACACAAGACAGCAAACACAAGGGGATTATAAAGGGAACACTAATGACAAGGACAGGTGAAACTGACTAGACAATAATCACAAGACTAGGATAACAAGGGGGCGGGGTAACGTAACGAGACAACACAAGCACATGGCCCAAACTGGCCATGCGCTTGCACACAAAACATGATTCTGTCATGATCCTGCCTCACGACTAGAGAATATCAAAGACAAGAAGGCAGAATCATGACAGAACCCCCACCTTAAGGAGCGGCTTCCAGACGCTCCTCAAGGGACATTAAACACGGGACATGACAGACTGTGACACAGACACAAACCAACAGTACATGGCAAAAACTAACAAAGGCATACAAGAATACACAACGACAGGGTTGGGGTGGAACATCAAAAACATCATACAGGGTAGAGGGGGTGGAGGAAACACAAAGTTCATGGGGGGCATGCCAGAGTTTGTGATGGGAAGTTCCGGGTGAGTCGATGGGCAAGGGATCCTGGTTGACTGGGAGGAAGACTGGGGACGAGGACTCTGGGCTGGCTTGGACGGAGACACACGAGGAGAAGACTTAGAAGTCTGGGATCTAGTGGAGACAGGAACAATCGGGGAAACAGTCCAGGGTTGAGCGCAGACAGGGCTGACCGGGGAAACACACGGGGTCTTGGGAACAGTGGAAGTCACAACAGGGATAGCAACTGGGGGTACATCGAACGAAGGAGACAAAGCAGGACTCATGACGGGGAGTGTAGTAGGAGATCGTAGAGGGGAAACTGGGACAGAGCTTATCGAAGAAGACTTGGGAGCGGTGTTCTCAGCTGCAGTCTGGGGTACGGCGCTCACTGCAGCTGTCTGGGGTACGGCACTCACTGCAGTTGTGGACTCGGGACAGGGCAAATTGACAGGACTGACAGGGACTTCAAGGATCTTGACAAGGGTCTTTAAGTATTCTGACAAAACCTCAGCGGCATCGCGGACAGGCATGTCTTGACGAGCAGAAACAGACCGCAAAACACTTTCAGCAGCTAAATCGGCCTCGGCCCTCTCTGCAGCGCTTACAACTGTAGCTTCAGGAATAACGTTCACAGCTGCAGCGGACTCTGGGACATTCACTGCTGCAGCGGGCTCTGGGACATCCACTGCTGCAGCGGGCTCTATACCAGGCGGAGACGAAGGACAGGGCGCTCCCCTCCTCCTCTTCTTTCTCCTAGGTCGCGGTACCGAGACCGTAGTTGGACTAGTGACCAGTTGAAGGAGCTCCGCGGGGACCGTAGCAGGCTCTGGGAAGACGGTCCCAGGAAGTGTAGACTCTGTCGAAGAGGACTCAGACGCCGACTCCCACGACAGCCGTCTTCCCCGCTTTCCGCGAAGAGTTGTGACAGTGGATGACGCCTCGGGAGTCGAGGTGGGAAGAGTCCGGTCCCCCACCGTAGCCACGGCGAGAACGCGACCCTCCGGGATCACGGGGAGCAAGCCAGGTGATGGCGACACGGTGGCACTCGGCGGGTCTTTCCGCGACAAACAGACCACCATATCCCGGAACGGACGACGGGCCAGCTTCTCCCGTTCAGCAAGAGGAGGAGGATCATTGAGACCCGCAATAAGGTAGCAATTTAAGAGGCGTTCAGGTAAGAGACACCTCCCCTCATCCACAACCCGGGCATACTCGTTCAAAGACAGCTCTCCCTGGGAGGGAATCGAAAGCTTGCCACTCCGTGAATCGGAGATAGTCCTGAGCCACCAATCTTCTAGAGGGTCCGACTGGCACTTGATGGGCGAGGACATACTGTCTGCTGGGTTCGGTTCTGGTCGGTTCATTCTGTCACGGCTGTGCACGGAGATGAACCCAAACGCAGACAGTGTACAATGAACTCAGGGTTTATTAGGACAAAACAGGAAAACAAAACCCACGAGGGGGCAAAACAGACGAAACAAGGGAAATAAGACTGACAAGACTAGAAAATGACTGAACAAGAAACCAACAACACTTTGTATAATACTAACAATGACAATGCTTTTCACAGACTACTCACAGGTAACATTTAGCAATGAACCGACACAAGACAGCAAACACAAGGGGATTATAAAGGGAACACTAATGACAAGGACAGGTGAAACTGACTAGACAATAATCACAAGACTAGGATAACAAGGGGGCGGGGTAACGTAACGAGACAACACAAGCACATGGCCCAAACTGGCCATGCGCTTGCACACAAAACATGATTCTGTCATGATCCTGCCTCACGACTAGAGAATATCAAAGACAAGAAGGCAGAATCATGACAAGATTAGATTAGATTAGATTTACATGAGTTTGAGAACTTCATCATTATCTTTATTTATTTGAGCATGGGTTCAACAAAGTTCTATAATAGTAACAAGGTTTAGCACAGTAGGCAAAACTAAAGAAGGATACATGTGCAATGAATGTAAGTAAATAAATAAAAACGTGGATATGTACTTTGTTGTCACTGTGCAATATAAACATACATGACATATAGTGCAGACAGTAGTATACAGTTAATGAAGTGGTATGGTGTAACTTAAAAACAAATTCAGTTAACATCCACAAATTAATAAGCGTGACGTTTCAGGAAATGCAGCATTCAAGTTTTTTAACTCAAATTTTTCATAGAACAGATTTTAGACATAATAGCTAGTTTTATGTTTGACTTTTATGTTTTATGTTTCTACTACAGTATCCAGTTAACGACAAGCGCTACAAAGTAGAACACAAAAACAGCTAACATGGTTGTTTCAATGATGAAAAGTTGGAACGTCAAACTTGGCAATGCACTTACTCGTGCCCGTAGCAAGACACCTGCCAAGTTTGAAATCCATCGGACTAACTGTTTGAGAGATATGCAAATAACAGACACACAGACAGACAGACAGACGTTCCTGATAAGAAATGTATTAAGCATCAAATCAGCATATCTAATGATTTCTGAAGGATCATATGACACTGAAGGATGAAAAATTCAGCTTTGGACCACAGAAATAATTTTACAATTTAAAATATATTAAAATAAAACAGTACTGTATTTTTAATAACTTAAATTCAGCTATAGTGATTGCTTTGTTGTTTTAATTGATTTATTGATTAATGAAACACCATCTAAATGAATTCAATAAAATGTTTTGATTAATTCACAGCCCCAATTTGTTCTTGTGCATTGATGTATTTTATTAAAGCAGGGCCTCTTGCAGATTATCGCTTTATTCTACCAGGTGCCAAGACACCGGGATTGAATTCCCTGTACCTATCCGCTGTTTACTCATAGCCCTTGGGCTTTAGCAGCATTAATGTATGTACAAGGGGATGATGGATCATGCACTAGCCTGGCATACTTGAAGTGGTTTTGATATATTATTTGTGTGCTGATGTGACACTGTGACACATGCCTTGCATTTCTACGGAGACAATAACGGGGCTGTACCCAGCAGCCATGCGGTTATGCATTTTCATTAAAGCTTAATGAAAGCCTAATTGGATCACTTTATCCCTCTGAGCGCTCAAGTGTCAGGATGGTCATTGATATTCTGCATTCAGTTCGATCTGTTGGTGCTGAGGACTTCACAGCGACAGTGGTTACACACATTATGTCCAATCGTAGAAGATCAATATTTGCTGCAGCCATGCAGCAGGAACGAACAATACCTGAACTGGGCTTTTACTTTATTTGCTTATAGACTAAAGATATACTTTTACGCATAATGATATTTTACTCTATTTAGGCTCACACTCATGATGTCATGGTACTGTAGGTCAGGATAGAGCAGTACTTAACTGGAAGAAAATCAATATGATCAATATAATCAATCAAAATGATCTGGAATAAATGGAAGTGAGATGAGATTGAAACTTTCATCGCGATAGAAGCAGAGGAGAAGAATTATCCTATAGGTCAGGGAGGGCAAGGAATAATTGGTGGTTACAGTAATGTGGTGGTTACAGTTAAGGTGGTTACAGTAATGTGACTATGAGGTCTATGTGTCCAGGTTGGTGTGTGTTTAGGAACATAAAATTCTGTCTCAGTATTTATTTATTTTTTTGTCCATGAAAGTTAATGAGGTCCAATGTAGGCGTGAACCATAAGTATCATCTAAGATAATTTTGTAATTGTTGTTTTAAAGGAGTAGTTCACTTTAAAAATTTATGTTTTCATCAAAAACCTTCATTTCTTTTCCAC